TTCTTTGCAGAAAATGGGTCTTATCTGTGTCTTGGCCATCTCTTTGATGTTGGTTAGAAATATTCTCTAGTTGTAGTCCCTCTTTCATTTATATTTTTTATTTTTTGTTTTTGTTTTATTTTAAGTGGTCCTGAATACAGCTGTCAAACTTGAGTAATCAGAAATAAGTTGCCTTATTATAAGTTTCTTTTGGATGTTCTGCTTAAAACATTGGCTTTGACAAAAAGAAAAGAAAACCACATGAAAATGTAATGTAAAGAGACAAGTTTATTAAAAGCCGTGACAATAGAAAATCACATCCTCATGTTTGATGACTTAATTTCCTCTCTGCTTTTATTGATCACTTTATTATATAAGGCAGGATTGATAGCAGGATGCATCGGATTTCCAATTATGAGTCCCCACCTTAGAGAATTGAGCCCGTCGAGTTACCCAGCGATGATTCCTGTCCCTCTCCCCCATTAAAAAAAAAATGTCACTTCCCAAGGCTGATAAACAGTGCTTGGTGATTGGTCCTCAATGGATCACTTTTTAGAAAATGAAATGTCAACCCCTTGCCCTTATATTGATTCTTCTTTAGTGTCGGCCATAAAGCTGTCATGGGAAAGGCCGCCTGGAGCCAGGTAGCTGACAGGCTTGCGGTGGCTCATGCACACTCAGCCAATTCTTCTCCTCACGCAGGTTGTCTGCCCTGTTATCTGGGACTACAAATGTTTAAATGGGACAAGAACAGGTAAACGGAGAGGAGACAGGTAGCGCAGACTAAAGCCTGGCCCAGGCTTTTAGTACAGATGAAAGGCAGTAAATGGTACCCTTGAAATAATCTTGCCAGACTTCGGCCAGCAGTATGAGAAAGCAACAGATTAAACCCCCTAACCTGTAAAACTGGAGTCATGTTCTTTGCTGGTGGGGCTGCTTCTTGCTTCTCAGAACCACAAAATTTTGATGCCAGAAAGGAGGCTAAATATAGATCCCTTGTAGGGGTCCACTTGAACTGAATCCCACACTGCTGGTAGCATGTGAGATTTTTAAAGAAGTCTTTGGGCAGGGACTCACGGAGTGAGAAAAGTTTCAGTCCTTTGGATGACCTCAAAGAGAAAATCTGTTTGGTGCTAATTTGTCATTTAAGAAAGAGGAAACAGCCTCAGGCTCACTGTTGGTATCTTGCTAGTTTTTTTATAGCAATCGTTTCATTTATTTCATTTATACCGAGAAGCTTGAGTCTACCGCAAGCCAGGATAATCTCCAATTTTTTAGTGAGAAGATCCACTTTTTTTTTTTTGGCCAACTTGAATATGTAAATATTTGGGGATCTCGGTGAAAGAATCAAATTATTAGATTTATAAACTTTATTTATATACTTAAAATTAGATATTATACAAAGTACCTTGATTTTAGACACATTGTATATTTTTTCCATGCACATTATGTTAAGCAAATTAATTTATGATTTTTATAGGCATCTTTGATCTGTGTTCCTGATCACTCTCAAGTTACAACTTCAGAATTCTATCAGCTTCCCAGAACACATAATTGTACCTGCTATCCAGGTTATTTTAAACTGTGACACTTCTTGTT